TGCTCCTTCAAAACTAGCACTTTTTTCATTTGAACTCCATACAAAGGACTACTCATTATTTTAGAGGTCCCATCTCATGGGGTGAGGCCTTTTTCTAGCAATTGGGCAGCATAGGATTTAATTTTTAAATTTTTAATGTTTTGTTTTGACCATTTATAATTTGTGCTGTCAGATGCAAATAGTTTGGATTTTTATATTTTTTAACAATGGATTTTAATAATCCAGGTTTTCAGGTTTATTCAGAGGATATTGTTAAACAGTGTGAACAATGTCCAGCTTTTGCATTTTGACTAGCCCCATACAGCACCAGATAGTTCTGCCCCTTTTGGTACAGAGCCATTTGGAGTTTAGTAAATAGCACTCTCATGTCCTGGCTTCTTAGTACCAGTGAAGAACACTATGCTATGGTCCGTTCTATTATATGGAAACTGATTTTATGTATTGGCTTCAATTTACAAACTGGACTAGAAAGCAAATAAACTCCTAAAATGTACAGCACTCGCTAGTTTAAAAAAAAAAAACACACAAAAAAACCCCTCCTCTGTACTATTTACCAACATGACTTGAGGTTTCAAGTATTGTCATATTGAGCCACTTTGCAAATAACTGGAGTTACTGAAGTTCATGTCTAATTAAGTGTGATTTAGCAAGATTAAAGGGATCTTTAAAAAGTGTCTGATAACTTAAATCGAGCTGTTGCCAATCAAATAATTAATTGATAATAAATAAATAAATATATATATAATACATAATAATATGTATAAATAATATAATAAATACAGGTATTATACATTAAATAGATCATTCAATTTTATATATTCCTTCAGAATAAATTTAGTAAGATTAATCCCCAAATTATCAATAATTAATTTTAATATGGGAACCAAAATGTACAAAGGTACCAGCCTACACTCCTACTACTGTAGTAAAGGAGAGTGGTGTAACTTACTCATTAGGGACTGAACTTTTGCATTTTGTTCCACTAAAACATTCTCGTCGACTTTCTTTGTTTACAGTTAGGGAGGCAACATCTTTGGCCATGTGTTGTCCTACTGGGCAAATGTAACAATAGATGATTACATATTTTAAAATGTTGATGTCAAGCAGTATTATAATGAAACGTGCTGTGATGGATCCTGTTAAGGACCAATGACTTTGTGAGTTTCTCAGACTGCTCATTAAAGAAACGTAACTGATTATTTCACAATAGTAGCCCTATACAGCTGCCCTGTATTTAAATATGTATGATATTTACAGAGTTACCAAAAGTCCCTGGACAGGACCCTGTCTGATTTCAAGGTCCTCTCCTGCTGTCCTGGTGTCCCTGAATTTGGACCCCAAAATCAGAACTATCCTGTTGAAAACAGGTCTGTTGGGGGCCCTCCAATTGTTTACTACTGTTGTGTATTGTTTATAACTACTGTAAAAGGTGCAAGATGTGCAGTGTAAAGCATCATTAGACATGCTTGTGCTGTACAGCGGACACTAGGACCATACAGATAGTGATTCAGGAACTTGACAACAGGCTGACAGCCCACCTATCCTGATTACATAACTCCTAATGTTGGGAGGTATGCATTTAATTCTGGAATATGACCTATAAATATTAAATTGCTACACCAGTATCTTCCTTAACACCAGAAATATGCTCACTGATGGACAAATCTTTGACCTCATTTTCTGCTTACTGTATTAGCCCTGGTAACAGTGAGATTCATTGGTTCTGTAACACTAGAGTAGGGGAAGGCAACCTTCGGCACTCCAGATGTTGTGGACTAGATCTCCCATAATGCTGTTAAAGCCGTAATGCTGGAAGTCCACGCCGTCTGGAGAGCTGAAGGTTGCCTACTCCTAAGCTAGAATGCCACAAATGAGCAGCATGATAAATATTTGGGCCTTAATAGACCCCGTCTTCAGTTTCCGCTAATAACTAGTAACTATCTATTACTTTTAATCTAATGCGACACTGTAACGAGAATATACCCCTACACGCAGGATCCAGCTAAACAGAGGCAAATACAGAGGAGAGATACGTCTACCGGACCTTAGAATGGCCGGACTCGACGTATATGAGAGGAGACAGAGCCAGGAACAAACCGAGGTCAAGGGCACAGAGAGACAGCGTAAACTAGGACAAGCCGGGGTCTGGTACACGGAAAACAGCAAGCCGGCAAACAGTACAGATAAGGATAAAGCGAAAACGAAGTCAGAATACGAAGCCAAAGTCAATACGAGAAAACACAACTGAACACCACAAGCGCTAAAGGGAACTGAAACAGAAACCACGATAGGGCAACGAGCTAAGGGAAAAAGGTAAGTTTAAATAGCTTTAAAACGAAAGTGATTGGCTCCTGTCACTTCCACACCCCCTATAGGTAATTGTACAGGGAGTGTGGTATGACAGGAGCCAATGCGAGCCTTTTGGCAATTAGGCTCCCACTGTCTCTTTAAGAGCGCGCCCGAGACTCGCGGCGCGCTCTTAGTTTCAGGCGGGACACGTGACCGCCTCACGCGGTCACTGCCCGCCTTCCATCCAAAGCAGTTGGATGAGCCGCGCGCGGCTCATGCAGCCGCAGGACCGCGCGCGGCTTGAAGAGAGGACCGCGACCGGCCCCCGGTTAAGGTAAGTAACGCTACAGACACCTACTTATTCCTCCAGTTATGGGACATTGGCTCAGCGAATTAAGTATAAACAAAGTGGATGTCTTGCGATTGAAATAAACGAATCACGATTCCAGAATGTAAAGTGTCTGCTGGAAAGAATCCATGAAATGATATGTAAAATATATTCTCAGCCTCTGAATTGTAACAAAATTGTCGTTTTATTTATTTTCCCGAAATGTTGGCAACTAATGCACAAAGAGAGGCAGAATATATATTTCTCTCATCATTGGAAAAAAAAAAATTTTTTTATTTTTTTTTATAGCTAGGCTCTTAATGTCACCAGTTAAATAAACAGTTCTCACGCTGACACATTTCCAAAAAGGAAAAGAAAATGTGGATATCACTTTAGTTTTCCCAGCTGTGACTTTGTGATTCTTAGAAAATATTTTATATTTAACCCCATAAGGACCAAACTTCTGGAATAAAAGGGAATCATGAAATGTCACACATGTCATGTGTCCTTAAGGGGTTAAAGTAGACACTAAGAAACATTTCACAGACAGCAAAAAGCCATCAGCGCGCATGCTATATATGTTAAGAATGGAAAAAAATTAAATAAAAAAAAAGTTCTTAGCTTTTTGGTTGTAGAATCAATCTGTCACCTGCATATCAAGCATGTGGCATGTTTATCTTTAGGTGATGGTAAAGCATGCACTTAATTTCAGATTGCCATTTCCTCATCCAACCTGTCATTACTGCTGGTGGGGCTTTGATGAGACAAATTTGCCTTCACAGGATGTCTCACCTTGTCAAAACACACACCCAGATACTCACACACACAATGTTCAAACACACTCACTTAAAGGCTCGCACGTATACACACAGCAAGACACTTACACTGGCACAAAGAGATGCCCTCACGCACACACAAAGACCTTCCATGCTCACATATAGCGACACACTCTCACAAACAAACAGTGAAAGGCTCCCACAGACATATACACCATTACTCATACTCACACAGGAACTTGTGTGCTACACACCCACTCTCATAGACACTTGCACAGATGCTCTTATGCAGACAGATAGACATTTCTGTCTTAGACAGGCAAACAGTGAGAAATAAAGGGAAAGGACAGAGACAGAGACGGGGGAGATACAAGGGAAATAACCGAACAGAGGAAAATAGAAGAAGATAAAAATGGTAGAATAGGAGCGGGTAACAGAGAGGGTGCAGAGAGGTCGATGAAAACTGCAATAGAGGGAAGATAAAATAAAGAGGGAAATAGTTAAATAGATGGGAATGAAAAGGGATAGCAAATAAGGAAAATTATGGAAAAGAGAAACCAGACAGGGAGATACCCAAATAGTCATAGGGAGAGTAAGAAGTGGGGACTATGGGTGGAGATATAAGAGATATGATGGAATAGGGAAGATGCATATTGGAAAGTATGCTGTAGGTGTAGAGAGTAAAATGAAGAAGGATTAGGGAATTGATGACATAGAAAGGAACAACCAAAGTGTCAGGAGGGAGGGAGAGGGAAAATATGGAATAGAGATGAATAGCAGGATAAAATAGGAACAAGGGAGGGAGAGGAAGCAGGAATGAATGAGGGATGTAAAAAACAATATAAAGAACAGCAACTGTTACAATGTTTAAATAATAAAATATTTCAGAGAAAAAATACATTACCAATACATTGACATAACCCAACCAGGACACCACAACTTGGCGTCAATACACAGAGTTGGTCATGTAATGGGTTAACAGAGGTAACGTAATAGACAAACAAAATAAAGATAATTCTCAGACATTGTGCATTATCACGTGAAAATTCATCCACATTCTATTAAACGGTTCACACTAAACTAAAGGATTCTTCAGCTAAACGTGTCTTGTGCACAAAAAAAAAAAAAAAAATTCTGAAAAGGAAACTTCAAAGTGACTCACAAAGTGCAGGAAGCAATGCTATGTATGCAGACACAGATTGTCTGTACTTACTACTTAAAGCAGAACTAATGTTATATGGGTATTGTACAGATGGATATTAGGGGGTTCATTGTTGGTTTCTAGCTCTCATAAAGCTCTCAAGTAGATGAACAAACTGGCACGCCATGTGACAGAGCTTGCGAAAGTGAAAACTCAGCTTGCAAACCGCACATTATTTAATCGTGGTACACAACCCTTGCATCTGTCTTGTTATAGGCGTGAGTATGTGTGGTATCTTTCATTAGTAATGTAGACTGCTTCACCACATGTCCATCTACAGAAATGTCTTGATTTGGCCCATCATGTCCAGTCATCAAATTCATCTCAATTTTCAAAGAAGACACTAATTTTTATAAAAAAAATTTTTTTAAATGGATTATGCTAAGAACAATTCGTGGAGGAGCTACACACTTCTGATCGCAATTTCGGTCCTCACACTATACGTCGATCATGTTATCGGTAAGTTCAAAATATTTTATAATGTTTCAATTGTCTTTTGCAGGAGAACTGATTGGAATCTCATGTTCTCCTACTTTGCTGCAAATGAAGCTCATGTGATCTCTACATAAATAGAAACACACAAACCTACCAGGTGATAGGAGATAAGGGCTCCGTCACCTTGTGTACCCAACCGCACAAACATGTTTATCATTGTCTAGTTGTTTTGTTTCATTCACCCATTGTACATCTTTGCACACTATTTTGGTGCTTTAAAAATAACAACAGAAATAACTAAAATAAACCATTAGCTCATTGAATCTGCTCATTACGGAATCTCAGACTCAGATTAGCGTGTTTGTTTTAGAGGATAAGCAATTCATACCCTGAGCATTCTTCAGATGGTTTGTTTTGTTAGCTTTTACTGATTTCACTGGAAGGCTGTGCAAGGTAAATGCCAATTTTTCTGTAAAATAATGTTGACTCTCAGACCGTCACTCTTCTACTTTAAATCATGTCTTCTCGATCTGTTTCTTGAAATTGAAGAAACATCTGTTCTATTGCATTTCTATGCGTGCACATTCAGTCTTGACGGTGATTAAGGATTTGTGGGTAGGAATAGGCTGGAGAGCTTCCTGGTCTACAGCTACTCCTGCACCCTAAGAGCCGTGATGTCTAAACTTGACACCACAAATAGTTGGAAAGAAAAATTCCCCTAATGCTTAGCCATCACGCCATGGGTCGGCAACACTGTGTGAAGACTTCAGAAATAATTAAAGTTTATTCTTATTGTTTCTTCCCCTCTACAATCCCTATACATTATGGAGTCAATTCACTAGATAGTGAATTGAAAACAAAATTGCTAATTTATTTTTTAAATAGTAATTGAGTACAGGTCTTCAATAGAAGTTGTAGCCTGGCAATTTAAACCCAAAGTTAGAAGTTTGTTTTTTAATTCACTACGTTATGGTATTTAATGAATGAACCTCTAAGACTTGCTCCCCAGCCAGTGATCAGACTGCTAATTACAGGGAAAAGACAGCAATGGCTAACGTGTCATGTAATCACCAAGCGTTCCATTCGTCTTAATGTATCTCGACTCATAATGCTACTTCCCCATCCATTATAGCAACATCCTATTTTTAATAAAGCTGATTTTCATATTAAAAACTCTCTTAGCTTAGATGTGGCTTGTGGTAGCTAAACAAAACTTATCTTTACAGGAATTATGAAATCTGACCCATATCACAATGTAAATACATGTCTAGGTCCTATGAAGGTCATTTTATGTTGGCTTTTATGACTTGTCTACATTTACATTTTATTTACTCTAAATTAGTGATATCCCAAACTGTTCGCCGAACGGTTTGCGAACGGTTCACCACGAACGGTTCGCCACGAACGGTTCGCCACGGACTCATCGTTGAGTAAACTTTGACCCTGTACCTCACAGTCAGCAGACACATTCCAGCCAATCAGCAGCAGACCCTCCCTCCCAGACCATCCCACCTCCTGGACAGCTCACTAAGAATGCAGCTTCACAATGAATGTAAAATGGATGCTGTCCGGGAGGTGGGAGGGTCTGGGAGGGAGGGTCTGCTGCTGATTGGCTGGAATGTGTCTGCTGACTGTGAGGTACAGGGTCAAAGTTTACTCAATAATGAGTCCGTGGCGAACCGTTCGTGGCGAACCGTTCGGCGAACAGTTCGGGACACCACTACACTAAATGTATGTATCCAAATTAGACCTATCCTTTACATTAAAAGATCAGTGAATCATGTGATATACAGCTGTGTAGTTATCTTGCATGTAATACACATAAATTACATCTGTGGAAATCAATGGGCTCTAAAAGGTTGAGTACTTCACATACCTGTTTTTCAATGCTTTAACATAAAAAAAAATTCTTGATAAATATATGCTAATCCCCCCTCCCATGCTAGCAGCTGATCACTGTCATAAAAGGTTGGGCAGATCTGCACTTGATAAGGGGTGCTAAGGAGAACCCTGTATTTGTAAAACACCTCTCAAATGTTTTACAGTTGTGGATAGGGTGCTTAAAGTGGCACTGTCACTTTTGAGTATTTCCTAAAGACATGATCTCTATAAAATACTGATCAAGACTGCTTTGGAATTTTAGTGAAATTTCAACACAATCCAAAGATATCACAGGATAAAGCAGGGACTACCTTGTCTGGTGGTTGACAAAGTTGCCACAAGGCAGAACTCTGCCCTCAACCTTTGTCTTATCCCAGCAACCATCACAACTGACGGCTGTGGGAGCTGAAAAGGGACAGCAGGGTGAACATGTGGATGGGTGTGAGAGACAGCTTGAGGTAAGTAAAACTTACCTTCTCCTACTCTGCAGCCACAGTACCCACGCTGGATCTGTTACTTTCAGGGATCTTTGTGATGTATGCAAAGACCACCGAAAGTGAGAGAATGCTTTAATATGGCCTTTAATAGTAAGGATTTTACAGTCCTCGATAAACGTAAATGTAAAATCAAAGGCAAGCTACTTGATCACCACTGGTTATATAATTCAGGAATAATCTATAAAGGGCAACATTGAAGCAGTGTTCTAAAACGTCATCAGCTGCCATGTAAACCTATGCTGATTGGTCCTCTTTCAGAACTTTGCCCCAGAAATGCTCTGTACAAATATGTCCATAGCACATATCAAATAAATGTCAAAAAAAACTTTCATCATTAATAATATTCATGCTAATTTGAATGAAAACATGAATAGGTTTTCTTTTAAGTTATGAAAGGATTTCAGGCAGAGCTGAATACAGATACAGTGGTGGTTAATTTACTAAACAAAAGTGAGCTTCAGCGAGTTTGCACAAACTGGCAGGTATGCATTCAGCAAGGAAATGTGGCAGGTACGGCCTGAAATGTAGCCGATGGAGCAGTGAAACTACGTGGAATAGGCCTTGACATAGCTAGGAGGAAGGCATACAATGGGTTGACATGTCAAGGGGGCCTATAGGAGTATTAATAACATACATTTTGTGTAGGAGCCATTTTAACTAAGTCTGACTTACTTGTTGTTGTCCCACACTCCCTCCCTTGTTTATGGTTTTCGTATGGGTATGTCACTTTTGTTATCAGCTGGTGCGGGCGGGGGGTGTAGACAGATTGGGGGTAGGTAGGAATCGTAGCTGGAAACGTGGAAGTTCTGTATCAATATTCACTTGGTTGGATTTGGTATTTGGTAGGTTAGAGCCCGTTGGTGGCTCTCAACCTGGTGATGTAGGGGTGTCTCGGTATACCCCTACAATGTTTTAAACTGTTATATTATGTTGCCTGTTGTGGCTGTGTGTGTTGTATTATGCAATTTAATACTGTTATTGATTATAGATGTTAAGTTATGTTATGGGGTATAATAATTGGGGATGTAGTTAATGGCAAATGTACAGAGTTTGGTCTGACAATGACCCTTTGTGAAAATATATATATATATATATACCTGTTTAATTATTAAAGCCGCGACATTTACCCACTTTAATTTAGTGTCTGTGTCTTTCTGGGTAGGAGGGTAAGTCAGGTAATGTAAGGCATATGCTGAAAAGATGACTATGCGCATGTTATGTGTTTCACGTGCATGTGTATGGGGTATAATATCTAGCGTACATACATAGCAGGATTACAGAAAGTCCTGCAGTACTAACCAAGGGTGTCTATATGCTGCTAAGGCACTCTTGTGTGTGCAGAAATACTTTGAAACAGACATGTATAGTCCGCGCATGTTCAGTAATATAGTCTTACGGAGGATTTTTTTTCTCTGATGTCTCTGTAAGAAGAGGACTTGAGAAATCACCCAGCGTGGGAGACAGGGGTTAAAACTGGGACTGTACCAGTAAAACCTGGAAAGTTGGTTAGTATGTGAGATTCCCTGACAAAATGAGATAATGAGACACTAATTCAATGTCTAAAACTTTGCTTTTATTTTTATATTAGTAAAAGAAAAAAGAGTGTCTCAATAATTCATGGATATGGATAGGTATGTGTCAATAGTGGATAAAATATTTTCCTGCTGTTACAAGAAAAATATATATCATTATACTAATAACTGAGACACTCTTTTTTTTTTTAATAATATAAAATAAAAGCAAAGTTTCAGACATTGAACTAGTATCTCATTATCTCGCTTGGTCAGAGATTCCTCTCCAAACTTACAATACACAACAGCAGTACAAATGCAGGGTTCCCAACAGACCCACTTTGAGCAGGACGAACCCAATTATGGATTCCTGTCCTGAAATAGTTTTCTGATGTCCTGTGTTTTGTTTTGTTGACTAACAAATACAGTATTTGTAAATTAAAAAAAGGGTAAGAGAGAAAGAGGGAAGAAAAAACGAGCAGCATGTGATAGACAGCGGAGATGGATTTCATGACACAAATTGGCTAATAGAAAATTTGTGTCATGGAAGGAGAAATCTAAAATTAAGTATCTTTACTGAAACAAACTACATGACAAACCATGTCTGAGTTTTAAACAGAAAAATGGTCAGTGTGTTCGAGGGTCTATATTACCAAATCAGACCATTTTTTGTGGTAGGATCCGAGCATTATGTTGCGAGAATTCGGCATTTGTTCCCAGGCGTGATTACAGTCAGCGAGGCTATGATATTGGTAAATGTTGGTAGTTATGGGGTATTCCACTAGTGATCAAAATATACTTTTGAGTTACGACCAAAAACTTTAGAGTAGTCTATGATAAGAAATGCCATATAATACATGGCATGGTTTAATGTAATACATTAAAAACAAATAATTACAGTATTCAGTTGAGTATCACCATGGAAGTAGAATCACAAATTCAATATAGCATTATATAGTGACACTTCAATCAATCACTTTATAGTGATCAATATATCAAAGTTAATAATCATATGATTATTACGAAGAACTAAACAGAAGCACTAATGGAGAGGCAACAATTGAAAGCGAGGATAGGCATTTATTCTACCAGTATTTTAAAGGGACACTGTTGACACTGTTACTGTTTCAAATATTTTTAACCAGTTCACTGTTATTACGATTCTGGGTCCAGTAGTGTCCCTTTAATACAGAGTCCGAAGTAAATCTAAAGAGTCCGAAATACCTCAGGAAAAAGGAAACTACATGTTTTTTGTTTTTTAGGAATTAAAGATCTTTATATTTCCTCTGCAGTGGAAGATTGTATTCCCTTTTTATCCTACCCTAGGCACCAAGATAAGAAGCAAAGTGCTTTTCTGGTTAATTTTCCAAATAGTAAAATCTAGGTTACTGCACAGCAGAAAATATAGCTTTTACATTACCAATAAGATCTCTGGGACTGAGCCTTATTTTCAGGTCATGAATATAGCATTGACTTTCTTTTCGCGGCTCTCTTCTTACAGCCCTGTAGTCGATCACTGCATGAAAGACAGTCCGAACCTTCCTTTCCTTTCCTTCTCTTCCTCTGTAATTTTTTTTTTCCATTTTTTTCTTTCTATCCTTGGTACCTATTTCATTGGCTATTTATTGGCTATTCCACTATCTACCCTGAATATAAACTGGGTGGATCCCAAGAGTTCACTGGATCACACAAATGCTCTAATACAATGATTAAAGTGTCTCTGACACTTCTGATTATTTCAAAAAGATACATTCATTAAAAAATGACTGCGTTGGAATTGTATTCAATGCAATCCAAGCATGCCATCAGTCTTATGGGTAAACCTGAGGTTGACAAAAGGAAGACTTCCGATGTCAATTTTTGTCCAATCCCACCAGCTGTCTCAAGAGTTGGCCGTGGGATTTAGGCATTTATATACAGTCTTCTGGGATCCTCCATAAACCTCAGTGTTGTACTTTTGCGCATGTGTGAGATTACCGCACAGACGTGGCTTCTGGCAGATAAAGTACCAGGTGCTGAAGAAGGTCTGCAGATGGCAGTGGCCATTATGGAGAGCTAAAGTAAACCTACCTTCCACTGCACCACACAGACACCACACCCTAACCTAACCTCAGATGCCACCTTCATATTTTGCAAAAACCCCCACAAGTGACTGATCTGGTTTAACTAAAACCACATACTTCCCTTTGCCTCTAGGTGGCAGAGTTGCATTGCAGATATCATCATAGAATTTATGCAGCTACGGATCTAAAAAATTACAATAAGTATCCTATGCTTGACTCACTATTTGATGAGTGCAGTCAAGTCCTCTGCTTTATACCTGAACTCCAGGGTAAATCTTGCTCTACTCTGCACTCTCTTTAATTTAGGCTTCGATTTAATATTGTTGGATAAGTCTTCCAAATGTTTTAACATCTTTGGATACATTTTAAAATGAGTTAATGTAATGACAAATATTTTAATTTAAATTTTTTTTATGTATGATATATTTTCGTTATAAAATATTTCAACATTTATCCAAAAATATGAAATCATTTGAAAAGCTTATCCAACAAAGTTAAATTGAAGCCTTAGCATCGCAGCCCATGCTAGTTTCCACGATATTTCTCTAGATGCCAATATGCCTACTGAGTCCAACTGGTAGAGCCAGCAGGATGAAGGGATCACTTTGTAAGACAGAGGTTTTTTACACATCACTTACAGCAACAACATACAGTATAAAAAAAACACATCAATTATATAGCATTTCTAAATGACAAAGCAAAGAAAACAATTTGAGGTTTAAAATAGTCACTTTAATAATGATCTATTTATAAGTTCTTTGTGTGAGAATATTTAAACGTCTTTCTATTGTCTGTGTTCAAGAACATGTCATTCTGATTTTACCAATAAAAAAAAAAAATCAAACAATCAAACAACCGACTACAGAAATTTAGATGCTTAGAGGGGAACCGTCACTTCTCTGCTAATTTAAGGAGGAGAAAACAAACCCTCACTTGAATTCAGATAGCCACATCGTATCCAAACTGTATATATTGTTACTAGAGTTGTATCAATTGTATCTAGGCTATAATGAAACAAAAAACAGGAGAGAGCAAAAGACAGGTATGTGAGGTAGAGGTTAGTCTTGGAGGCCATAAGCTTTCCTAGAGAGATGGGTTTTAAGGCACTTATTAAAAGATGCAAGACTAGGGGAGAGTCTGATGGCGGTAGGCAGGAAGGGAGCCGCCCGCGAGAAGTCCTGCAAGCGTGAGTTGGCTGTACAGGTGCGGACAACGGACAGGAGGTGGTCACGGGCAGAGTGGAGAGACCGAGAAGGGACATACCTATGGATCAGTGAGGAGATATAAGAGGGGTTAGAGTTGTTCAGTGCTTTATAGGTGTGAATTAGTACCTTGAATTGACTCCTATAGCATTCAGGAAGCCAAAGCAAGGACTGGCAGAGGGGTGAGGTGTGAGAGAAACGACTAGAGAGGAAAATCAGTCTGGCAGCAGCATTCATTACAGACTGTAGCGGTGCAGTATGGCTTTTGGGAAGACCAATCAGGAGAGGGTTACAATAATCCATGCGGGAAATTACTAGAGCATGGACAAGCTCCTTGGTAGTATCTGGTCCAAGAAAAGGGCGGATGCAGGCTATGTTTTTAAGATGGAATCTACAGGATTTGGCAACATGCTGGATGTGAGGCTCAAAGATGAGGCCAGAATCAAGTATGAGACAAGTGGAGAGAGATCTAATAAGGTGAGATGGGACAGGATCGAGCAGGCAAGTGGTGGGGCGACAGGGGCAAAGAAGAGCAGCCACCTCTTGTTCAGTAGCCGGGGAGAATGTCTGAAGGGTAGGAAAGGCATGATCTATGTGTGGTTGAGAAACAGAATGGCAAGGAGGGGAGAATTCTTTCCTTAGCTGTTCAATCTTGTCAGTAAAGTAACATGCAAAGTTATCAGCAGTAAAGTTAGTTTGGGGGGTGGCCACAGCAGGGCGAAGAAGAGAATTAAAGGTGTCAAAGATTGGGATTGTGGGAGCATGAACTAATGACAGAGGAAAAGTAAGACTTATTGGCAAGGGCTGCACTGTATGAACACAATATGAATCTATAATGGATAAAGTCTGACTGGGTGCGAGACTTCCTCCAGGAGCGTTCAGCACAACGGGAGCATCTTTGCAGGTAGCGTGTTAATTTAGTATGCCATGGTTGGGGGTGGATCCTCCTCGAGGTGTTTGTTTGGAGCGGTGCTGCAGCATTCAAGGCAGATGTAAGGGTAGAGTTATATGTGGAAATAACCAGTGAAGGACAGGAGAGGGAAGGGGTGGATAGCAGTCGTGAATCAATATCAGCTGACAACTGCAGGAGATCAAGAGAATTAAGGTCCCTCCTGAGTTGAGGGGGGTTAGGCTGAGGTTGTTGGGTGAGGGGGTACACGAGAGCAAATGATAAGAGGTGGTGATCATAGAGAGGAAATGGAGTGTTGCAGATATTAGATACTGTACATGCATAAGTGAAGATTAGGTCAAGGGTATTGCCAGCTACATGGGTGGGAGAATTAGCCCACTGTGATAGCCCGAGGGAGGAAGTAATTGAAAGTAGTTTAGAGGCTGCAGAGGTCAAAGGTGGGTTAATAGGAATATTGAAGTCCCCGAGAATTAGGGATGGAATGTTGGAAGAGAGGAAATAGGGTAGCCAGGTAGCAATGTGGTCAAGGAAGAGAAGAGGGGAACCAGGATGACGATAACCGCAATGTTAGCAGAGAAGGGTTTGAAAAGGCGAATTGAATGTATTTCAAATGATGGAAAAGAGAGGGAAGGGGGGTGGGTAGAGGTTTAAAGGAGCAGTGAGGGGAGAGGAGAAACCCAACACTACCACCTTTACATTCAGAGTTTCTTGGGTTGTGGGTAAGTTGGAGACCACCGAAGGACAAAGATGCAGGGGTAGCAGTGTCAGAGGGGGAGAGCCAGGTTTCTGTTAAGGCTAGTAAATCTATTGAACGAGAGATGAAGAAGTCATGGACAGCAGTGGATTTAGTAATATTGCAAACAGAGCGTGCGTTCCAGAGGGCAGTATTGAAGGAGGAATTAGAGGAACACGAGATGGGTATGAGATTAGTGTGGTTCCTTGGGTTAGTATGGGGTGAGTTTGCTGAGAGTGGACCGGGGTTTGGAAAGACATCACCAGCTGCTAGTAGCAGAAGGATAGAAAGGAAGTGAAGGTGGGAGTGGGATTTGAAAGTTTTGTAGGAGGGTATGTATGTAGAGGATTTTGGAGGAGTTGGTGGAGATAGGCTGGAAAGGTATGTGTAGAGTGCATGGGATGAATAGAGAGGGGAGGGGAGTAAGGTGGAAGTAATGACGATGGTGTTGCCAGGGACAGGTGAGCGAAAGGATAGGGATATTTTAGTGATGAGAAAAGTTAGTGTTAAAGTGAAAAATAGAAGGGAGAACATTAGAGAAAATGTGTATTATATAGATATGTAGATCATATATACAAACACACAAATATCAATGAGTGTGTAGAGTCTGGTCTGCCTAATGCAACACACAGGGATGAGGGAGTCTGACTTGATGTGGGTTGCTCAAAATTGGACAAAGACAGGAGTTCACCCAATACCTGTCTAAAATATTAAAGTATGAAGGAGTAACACCTTAATTCGGAGTAGTATGTCCAGGAGCTGTTTCACCTGCAGATGGCTCTTTGGTAGAGGTGTATGTATAGTTGTACCAGATAAGGAACAAACAGGAAGTTCAAATATTGTGGAACAGTGATGTAACAATATGTATGGTGTATATGTCTTTAAATCTGCTAGAGGCAGAGTAAGTCTAGTATACACCAAATAATCTGCTTAGTGAAAGCAACTATGTAATACAGAACAACGGCATGGAGAGCAGTTTTCTGTGATATACTATAGTTGATGTCACAAACCCATATAGTGACACAATTATTTATGATGTCTATCTCTTTAAGTCTGCTACCAGCAAACCAACTAAATTGTGCACAATAATGCTTCTTTAACCCCTTCACGACCGAGGACGGTTCAGGACCGTCATCGGCATTTTTGCCTTGCAGACCGATGACGGTCCTGAACCGTCCTAACGGTCAGAGGTACTTACCTGATCGCCGTCGTTCCCCCGGCGGCGATCCGCGGTGCTCCAGTTGTGGGGAGACTGCCTGCAGCCCAGACAGTCTCCCCACACTGAAATAGGACCCCTGTGGCCATGTGATCGCTTAACACAGCGATCACATGGTCACAATAGGTGTCCATTTGTCTGCCTGCAGGGGGACTGTCTGTGCTGACAGGCAGTCTCCCTGCTAGTGTAATATCAAAAAATAAAATAAAGTTAATGTTAATAAAAAAAATAATAATAATGTCTATATAGCATATATATAATGCCATACTAAGTGTATTTTTATATTAATATGTACTTATATTAATATAAAAATACACTTATAATTAAATTACACACATATATATATAATATATATAATAACTATATATACTGTATATATATATATTATTATAAAATATAAATAATAAGTAATTTAAATTAAATAATTTTTTTAAAATAATAATAAAAATTTTAAAAAAAATTATATATCTATATGAAATTTTATTCTAACTGTATTTTAAAATTAATATATATATATTTATATCAAAATACACTTAGAATGAATTTGTATATATATCTATATATAAATAAATAAATCAAAATAATACAAAATATACATATGTCCATATACAAAATTACATAAATAATTATATAAATATACACGTAGACTTCAAATATATAAATATGCATATATATTTAAATTCTACGTGCATATTTATGTAATATTTTTTACATAATTCAGTAATTTTATTGATTGCAATTTGAGGGACCTGCCTGCCAACCCAGGCCGAAATTCCAGAGAATTTAATTTGCTAGCACTGTATTTTACCCTGTAACGTTCTACGACACCCTAAAACCTGTACATGGGGGGTACTGTTTTACTCGGGAGACTTCGCTGAACACAAATATTAGTGATTCAAAACAGTAAAACATATCACAGCGATGATATTGTCAGTGAAAGTGACTTTTTGCATTTTTCACACACAAACAGCACTTTTACTGATGATATAATTGTTGTGATACGTTTTCCAGTTTTTAAACACTAATATTTGTGTTCAGCGATGTCTCCCGAGTAAAACAGTACCCCCCATGTACAGGTTTTATAGCATTTTTGAAAGTTACAAGGTCAAATATATGGGTCAAATATTTTACATTGAAAATGGCCAGGTTGGTTACGTTGCCTTTGAGAGCGTATGGTAGCCCAGGAATGAGAATTACCCCCATGATGGCATACCATTTGCAAAAGAAGACAACCCAAGGTATTGCAAATGGGGTATGTCCAGTCTTTTTTAGTAACCACTTGGTCACAAACACTGGCCAAAATTAGCGTTCAATTTAGTTTTTTTACTTTTTTCACACACAAACAAATATGAATGCTTACTTTGGCCAGTGTTTTCGACTAAGTGGCTACTAAAAAAGACTGGACATACCCCATATTGAATACCCTGGGTTGTCTACTTTAAAAAAAATATGTACATGTGGGGTGTTATTCAGAGATTTATGACAGATAATAGTGTTACAATGTCACTATTGATAAATTTAAAAAATTATGTTTTGAAACCGCAATATTCTACTTGTACCTATAGCCCTATAACATGCAAAAAAAAGCAAAAAAGCACGTAAACACTAGGTATTTTTAAACTCAGGACAAAATTTTGAATCTATTTAGCAGTTTTTTTCATTCGCTTTTGTAGATGAGTAAAAGATTTTTCAAGTAAAAATCAAAAAACATGTATTTTTTTCAATTTTTCATCATATTTTTTTATTTTTTTAAAATTAAAATACATGTGATTATATAAATAATGGTATGTAAAGAAAGCCCCTTTTATCCTGAAAAAAACAATATATAATTTGTATGGGAACAGTAAATGAGAAAGCGAAAAATTACAGCCAAACACAAACACCACAAAAGTGTAAAAATATTCCTGGTCGCAAATGTACAACATCGCAAAAACAGTCCAGTCCTTAAGGGGTTAACTGGAGTTGTCAATCATGTAGATTGCAACCACATTACTTGATACTGTATTACAGTGACTTAAAGCATCTGTATAAAAAATAAAAGTTAAAAAAAAACACTATTAAAAAGGATGAAAATATTTCTATTTTCATCCTTTTTAATAGTGTTTTTTTTTAAACTTTTTTTTTTTTAACTGCAGGTGAAACAGCTCCTGGACATACTACTCCGAATTAAGGTGTTACTCCTTCATACTTAAATATCAATGAGTGTTTAAACCATTGTAAGGATGCAATGTGTTAACAGAGGATTTCAGGTGAGGAGAGGTTTAGTGACTTGATTGGTGTGTTTAGGAAACCAGCTGATTTGCACTATCTATAAGTAAGGTAATGACCATGGGGTGGAAGGGTGGGCAATCTTCCAGAGATGATACCTCTGCTCAGAAGATTGTAAGTGCTATATTGTCCCTATATTACAGGGACTCTCCTTAGGGTTATAGACGTGGAGCGTATGTATGTTTATTTATTTTTCTATATACCCTTAGGTTTATCAATAAATGTGTTTTTAATTCTCAAAGAATTCTGAGGTTTCTATAATGTGTGACGTTCTATCTTAGGATCACATCTTCTCATATGTCATGTACATCAGTGGATTCCACTGAATCATCATGGACCAAAAATAATAAAAAAACAAAAAATGATTATCACATCTTCTCACACAGAAATGTTGATACAATCTGGAACATTGGTGGTTACTAACGGCGAGTTTCGGAAGTGCTGATTTATGATTATTATTTATAATAGCAACAGCAATAATTCTTTTTTTTAATGCATGGGCAACAATATAAAATTATAATTTCTTTCTCATTTTACAGCAATCGAGCCATGTGTAAATCGTATAGACATTCACAGACACACGCAATACAATGCATCTATTGGAAAGACTCTCTCCCTAAAGTGTCCAGTCCATTTCTGCTCTCCAGAAGCTCCGAATATGACTTGGTGTAAACGGAATGGAGACAGTTGTCAGCCTATAGATACCGACTCCAGGATCTCTTTTGAATGGACAGAATGTGCAGAACATTATGCAGTTTATCTGCTGAAGTTTCAATCAGTTAATCTAACAGACAGTGGATTTTATGGATGTTCTGCAAAATACAAAGATCAACAAACTGTGGGGCACCTGCTAAGAATTAATATAGCTGGTAAGTTACAGAGTCTCGGTCTCACTTTGCACTTTATATCAATTACTAAATTGTGACATACTCCTCAGTTCACTAAATGGTGTAAATAGCTGCACCATTGCCTCCTGGGATGCCCCCCAAAAACCAGAAGAGACCTGGTAAGTGGCTTCTCTCGCCATCCTGTGGGCTGTGGGATTGAGAACAATTTAAAGAGAACCCAGGAGATACCCGTATAATAACTTGATTAAGCAAGGTATTTGCCCAGTCAATATCCAGTCATCCATGTTTGAAGAGTCCTTGAGACACCTTGTCTTCTAGTTCCTATATGAATTATTCTGTAAGGGATTATCTCATTAATAAGCATAACGTAGGCAGCTCAGGGTCCACAAGTCCACAGTCACCCTTCAATTATGATTCTATCTAACCCCCTCACTCTACAGTGAGGGAGACCAATAATAATTAAACAATGTTTCTATATCTTCTCCTTTAATACAACATGTGTCCTCGCTGGGCTTTGACTGCACTGGATTGGGAAGTCATTTTAATTTGCTAAATGAATAATATACATTTAAAATAAAATGAGGCATTTCATAAAACAAAAAGTCACCCCAAGTTTTATGTTTTTTTTCAATGTTTGTTCAGTTGCGTAATTTCCAAAGAAGTGACGGTTCCCCTTTAATGGGATTTTAGCTGTCAAAATGAACCTGGCATGACAGATGTACTTTAATAGCACAATAAAGGTTTCGTGACAACTCTTGTGGTTTTGGGTTGTTTAGAATGGTAAACGCAGGCAGATGGAGAAGTTAAACGTCAGTACTGATAAGATAAGTATCATATGGAAAGAGCACCGTAGACCCAGGTAGTTAAAACATACTCAGTACAAATGAGAGACTAAAGGTAAGTTATGATTTTTACCATAGATTTACTTTAATAGGCAGCTTGTCAACATTTTATTTTAAAAAAAATCTAAAAAAATAATATATTTGTCTAATTTTGTACACACCATTTTTCGCTATTAAAAGGACAATATTTGGAGTTATTTTTTCAGGGCGAATGATAGGGAGTGAATTCAAAGTTGCAGAACTGAAAAAAATTCTCCAAGTCAGCAAAGTTTTCAGTTTGATTTATATTGGTTTAAAATATGAAATTTGTTTTGAATTCCCAACCATTCACACTTAGACAAATAACCCTGCTGGTATTGAATAAATAATGTGTTATCTTAAGGTTATCGTATACTACAATAGTTAAAGACATAAAGGGAATCAGCACAGTAAAGGAGGAGACCATATTTAAAAGAAGAAAAACTACCACAACAAGAGGACATAGTCTTAAATTAGAGGGACAAAGGTTTAAAAATAATATCAGGAAGTATTACTTTACTGAGAGGGTAGTGGATGCATGGAATAGCCTTCAAGCTGAAGTGGTAGAGGATAACACAGTAAAGGAGTTTAAGCATGCGTGGGATAGGCATAAGGCTATCCTAACTGTAAGATAAGGCCAGGGACTAATGAAAGTATTTAGAAAATTGGGCAGACTAGATGGGCCGAATGGTTCTTATCTGCCGTCACATTCTATGTTTCTATGTTTCTAGTTTTTAAGGGTTGTATCTCAAAATAAAATGACTCGATCATTTAACCTCTGCAAGCAAAATGCTTAGTGATTTTTGTAGAACATATTGTGACGGTGACAAAGAATGTCTCTGGGCTTTATGTGGTTAATGATAAGTTATACACCTGTATCGGAAGACGTGTTTCGTGTCTGGTTTTCATGCACACACTGCAATAACTTAAAAACAACCAGCAGTAGTTGCAGTACGCACGTTGATGGAAGGATTTCCTGTTACGGTTCAATAAGTGCATTTAAAAAAATGCAGATTTCTGATCAATTATTAAAGTTCAAGAATACTGAGTTATCGAATTGTAGGTACTGAGATTATAGAAAAGTAATTCTTCCTGGAATACTTTAATATTTTTTTTTTTTTTAAATGCTATGTTACAGATTAGCATCCACACATTTTACTGTAACAAGAACACGTTCCAAGCATCTATATAAACACAAATATGCATAGAACAGCCTGTGAGACTGTGGGTTTGTGGATATAAACATTTGTTTTCTAACACTAGTTATAATTATTAAGCGTTCCATAGAAAATAGGGGGAACAGAAAAAGAATATGCTTTTGCACATATAGTTATTATTATGTAAGTTATGTGATCGTTGCATAAAATCGAATATCATATCAATCTAGGTGGTCATACACTGAAAAAAATAACACCACCCACATTTGGTTTTACATTTTTTGAGGATTATACCAGCTTTAGGGTTACCAATGCCCAAGGTGAGCTAAGATTTAGAAATTCTTCATATCATTGTCTTCATCAATATTCCCTTTAATTCCCAATTCTTTATTAAAACGAACATAAACAAAATATATTAAAAAATGAGAGTAACTTTTTTTTACATCAAAAATTATTAGTTAGCCATTTAAATGTCTTAATTTCTGCTCAGGGAACAGGATATTTTTAAAGAGTCAGTGGATAGAATGTGGTAGATTGGCGTACCAGAATCTAGAATCTAATCCTGCACTTGCGCAGTTCCCTGCTGTCCCTAGATGAGGGACACCAGAAAAGTAAAACAGGACTGGACCCTGAAACCGGGACTGTCAGGATCTGCCAGGAGCTCCATACTCAGACTCAACACATGCAGTTTTGGTTTCCATATACTGTAAATACTTTCTTGAGGACCAACCATTATTTATGGCCTTCTTGTCTCTCACATGCCCTCCCCCAAAGTGTGTAGAAATGTATTGGGGGACAGTAGGGGGAGTCAGGGAATTTTGTGTCTACATGTGCTTGGCCTGGCTCCTCTCCTGACTGGTTCAGCTTACATTTTGGGACTGGCTGCACTATATCAAAGCAAGCAGTTGCAATGGTCAGTCTGGACACACAGTCTGTTTCTCCATGGCAGATCAGTTCTCTGTATAGTCAGTCTCGTCCTAGCTGAGGGTTGTCAGAAACCAATACTCTAAATTTTTCACGACATTTGTCAGTTTTATTCACATTTGTAACATTTTATAAACTTGAATTGTAATGGTTGTATTAAGGTGAATAAGTAAAGTCCCAATATAACAAACATGTTGTTTTAATAGAAGACTGCTCGGGGTATTCATTGAAGTTTCTCTGTCCCCTTTCAGTATTTGCTAAAGATATATTTTTTTATGAATTACTGATCAAGACTGTGTTGTCATTTCTATGAAATTCCAACACAATCCAAAGATACTTTAAGACAGGACTTGATAGAGATTACTTTGTCTTATGGAGAGGAGGGAGGTTGACAAAAGGCGGCGCTCCACTGTCAACTTTTGTCAAAGCCCAGCACCCATCACAAGTGATGGCTATAGGCTGAAGGCATTGTTTATGGAGGCTCTTGTGTTCTCGTAGGATCCTCCATAGATGCTAACGCATACACGAGAAGGCAAAGCTGACATGGCTCATGTCACATCTAAAGCCAGGAGGAAACCAGAAAGACGAATATGGCAGCAGCCCTGAGGTACAGCTTAAGGAAAGAAATACCAACATACACCCTGAGGCCACTGGACCCACACTGGATCCATCACTTTAAGTGATCTTTGCAAAATATGCGAATATTCCTGAAAGTGACAGATCCATCTTAAGTGCTCGCACCTTAAGTTCAGTGCACTTCAAAATATTCCAAATATTACTCTGTAGTGAAAAACTGTGTTTTGTTATTCTCATACTGTAGTGGTGCTTAACCTCTTAAGGACCAAACTTCTGGAATAAAAGGGAATCATGACATGTCACACATGTCATGTGTCCTTAAGGGGTTAAATAAACTAGAAGCAAAAAATTTAATTCCTTCCAAGATATATACAGCCTTCCTGAGTCAAACAGTAGAATATTAATTGGACTTCACACATTACTTTTTATTATATTCAGGAAAAGGAGTTGTGAAAGTTCCCCAGTAACCTCTGAATATCATTGACACTTTCATGATATGCCACTTTCATGATATGTCATTTCTTAAAATGAATTTGTGTTCCCATAAAGGTTTAACCATCCATACGAGAACAATTTAGACATAAAATACAGTTATATGCACAGGATGCTTTCTGTCAATTTGGAGCCTGTCATTTTGAGAATATGTATACGTTATCTTTTGAAATATGCCTGTGTCTCGTAGTTTGACAAGTTTTAGAAAAACAAACAATTGAAGTGTTCCATCAAATCATTTGTTTAAAGTCGCACACATCTCTGAATTGACACCACAACAAAGCTGTACATTTTGTTATTGAACAAATAAACTATATAATTTTCCCTTTCACTCACAGAACCACACATTATTCCCTCCTAGTCCAAAAACACAGAGCAGACACACAAACCATACACAAACACAAACTTACAGACAATATATTGGCCTTATGGAAGAATGTGAGATTAGAAAAGAGGGGTGAGAATAGTAACTTATCCATTGGTACTGAATAAGCACTGGATCTAAAATTCTCCAAGATCTGAAATGACTCTTATACATTAGTTTCATGTAAATCTCAGAAATATTACAATTCCAATAAATGACTCTGTTAAATACATGTAGGGGCAGTAGCCATTGTTGTATCAATTTGGCAACCCGTTGACACCATCTGGGTAGAATGTATTTGTTTCCCAATGGTTGTCCAGTCATGCATGACACTTGCAATGATTATTGACAATATTAGGTCACTTTAATTTTATCCGTTACACCCCAAACTACCTATATAAAAAAGGACATTGTCACCTGTGCATTGCACCATAGAGGTTAAATACATGTGAAACCAGATCTGTCAGTTTCAGGGGTCTTCGCATATTTAGCAAAGACCCCCAAAAGTAACATATCTGGTGTGTGTTCATGGCCGCTGGGTGCAGGGAAAGGTGGGTTCTACTTACTTCAAGCTGTCCCTTGTGATGGCTACTATCTTCCTCCTGCTGGTCCTCTTCAGCTCCTGGCGGTTTATTTGTCTGGAGTGCT